AATATTTTCTCCCATTCAGCAGGCTGCCTTTCATTTAGTTGATGGTTTCCTTTGGGGCACAGAAGCTTTTTAGTTTGATGTAATCCCACTTGTTTTTGATTGGTCAAATCCAGAATATTGTCAAGACTGATTTAGAGGCTCAGTGCCTATGTTTTCTTCTAGGAGATTTATGTTTCATGTCTTATGTCCAAGTCTTTAATCCATTTTGAATTAATCTTTGTGCAAGGTGTGAGACTGAAGGCAGGAGGAGAAGGGCAAGACACAGGATGAGATGGTTGGATGGCATCACTGATTCAATGGACATGAGTCTGAGCAAACTCCGGGAGTTGGTGATGGACAGAGAGGCCTGGCATTCCTGCAGTCCATGGGGTCGCAAAAAGTTGGACACAATTGCGCAACTGAACTGAACTGAAGGTCTGAGATGGTGGTCCAGTTTTCCTAAAACCATTTACTGAAGAGAGCCCTTTCCCCATTGTATATTCTTTGCTCATGTGTCATGCATGTATGTCTGACTATACATGCATGGGTTTATATCTATTCTGTTCCATTGATCTATGTATCTGTTTTTGAGGCAGTACCACACAGTTTTAATTACTATAGCTTTATAATGTAGTTTGAAAACAGGACATATACTGTCTCTGGCTTTGTTCTTTTTCAAGATTGATTTGGCTATTTATGATCTTTTGTAGTTCCATACAGAGTTTCAGATTATCAGTTCTATGAAAAAATTACATTGGAATTTTGATATGGATTGCACTGAATTTGTAGATTGCTTTGATAGTATGGACATCATATATTATTTCTAATGGCTTTATTAAGGTGTAATTTACATATATTACATTCAGCTGTTTTAGGTGCACAGCTATTTTTGAAGTTTATAAAACTGTGCAAAAGGGATCAAACCCAGGTCTCTTGCATCGCAGGCAGATTCTTTACCATCTGAGCCACCAGGGAAGTCCTTCCCACTCCCATGTAACCACTAATGTAGTATCTGTTTTAGATATTTTCTTCTGTCATTATAAATAGAATCACACATTATATGGTTTATGTGTCAGAATTCTTCTACTTAGCATGATGTTTCTGAGGTTCATCCATGTAGCAGCATACATCAGTATTCTATTTTATGAATTTTTTATTTACCATTTACCAGTTAATGATCATTTGGATTGTTTCTACTTTTTCACTAGTATAAATAATGTTATAAGCATTCACCTACAGTTTCTGTGAACAGTTTTTACTTCTCTGAGGATGAAACATTGAATGGAATTTGCTGGATCATATGGTAAACTGCTTAACTTTTTAAGAAACTGTCAAGACCATTTTCCATAGTGGCTGTCATTTTACATTTCTACCAGCAGTGTATTAAGGCTCCAGTTTCTCCATATTCTCACCAACACTATCTTTGTCCTTATCATAGCCATGCTAGTGGCTATGAAGAGGTGTGTGCTTTTGGTTTTAATTTGCATTTCTCTAATGACTAGTGATGCTGAGCAGCTTTTCATATGCTAAGGCACTGGGTACCTTCTTTGCTGAAATGTCTATTCAAAATTTTTGCCCACTTAAAAATGCAGTTGTCTTAGTTTTGAGTTTTAAGAATATGTAATCTGGATATAAGTTGTTTATCAAATATGATTTGGAAATATTTACCCAGTCTCGTTTGTCAATTCACTTTTTTTCCCTATTGGGTTGGCCAAAAAGTTTGGGGTTTACCATAACATCTTACAAAAAAGCTGAACGAACTTTATGGCCAATGCAGTATTATGTAAGTTGTTTCAGGTGTACATTGCTCAAGACCACTTGGTAGAATAGCAAGCTTCTTTAAAAGAATAAAGACTAGACTACCAAAAAGCCTTATCTTAAATTGTATCTACTGACCTAAGTCTTTACTGTGTTCTTTAGTATCTAGAGTTCAACTATGAGGCTAAAATGTGACTTTTCTCAATTTTCTAGTCAACTGATAAGACAACTGGTATCATCCAGAAAAATTACAGCTTGTTATATTTTCTCAAATATTCAGGTTTCAGTTTATTTCAACTTTTATTTTCATATAAATAAAAATACTATCTTATACCTAGGATGCAAGGACTTGGTTATCCTTGTTGGGATAATGGTTCTCTATCTCTGCAAGTCACTCTGTCTGGTGATAACTAATAAGTAGCTCTAGCTATACAATTATTGTGGCTAGAATTCAAGAAATGGTGAATGGAAGCTCATCTATTCGGTCTTCACGGAATATACCTGGGAAGGAAAAATGACACTTGAATAAAACACCTAAAGTATTTTTACCAGTTTTGGGGACCACTGTGTTGTCTCCCCAGTATACACTCCACTGCCCCCCATTATGTAGCAATAATGGTTTGGGTAATTCATACTCGGCTCGAGGAGCAGACCCTGATCTAGGTCAATAAGAAAATCTCTCCTATTCCTTGCTAGAATGACTAGGTTAAGCTCATAGCATTTCACAGCCATGTGGATTAGTTCAGAAGTGCCCTGAATTAGTGTGAAAAGTTTAAGACTCTCACTAGGACAATGTAATATGCTATAAAGCTGGGAACTACTGAATGATTCTGCCACCTCTAGTAGATTCTAAAATGGCTCCCAGTGACCTCTGCCTTCTGGTATTCATTCCCTTATACAATTCACTCACCTTCAACGTGGGCCAGACCTAGTGATTAGTTTCTAACTAGTCACAGGATACAGAAAAAGTGATGGATGTTACTTCTGAGACTAGCTGCAAAAGGACTGTGGCTTTCATCTTGCATTTCTTCTCACTTGCTCACTCTCAGGGAAGCCACATGTCAAGCTGTGGGCCACTATGGAGTGGTCCATATGGCAAGGAACTGGGAGAGGTGTCTGGACAACAAAGAGTGAGAAACTGAGGCCCTAAATTCAGCCCGAGAAGAACTAAATCCTGCCAATAACCACATGAGTGAGCTTAGAAGGACCTCTTTCTCTACTTGAGCCTTTAGATGACACTGCAGGCCCTGTCAGAGAGCTTTAATACAACCTCATGAGAGACTCTGAGGCAGAGGCCCTAAACTAAATTGTGCCCAGATTCCTGACTCACAGAAACAGATTTTAAAAAAAAAGTTTGTTGTTTTAAGCCACTTAATTTTATAATAATTTGTTAAGCAGCAAAAGATACTATCATAAGAAAAGTTAGTTTGAGCTGTTTATTTTCTGTTATTTGTAACTGAAAGCACATTAACATATACTAGCTAGTAGTAATCTAATCTTGAAAAGGCTATAAGACGTTGTACACAAATAATTTTGTGAACTTAAGGTTTACAAATATACAAACAAAAAACCCCCCACCTACCCATTCACAACCATCTTCATTTCTCATATGGAAAATGATGTAATAAGGCCTCATTCATTCAGTATCCCTTATAATATTGACAAAGTCTGGGCAAAGATTCACCTTTAATTACTTACACAAATAAACTGTAAAAAAACAATAACAACAATGATCACAGGCAACTATTAAGTCCACTTAAAACATCTACTGTTTAGGGAATTCTCTGTCAGTCCAGTGGTTAGGACTCACACTTTCACTGCCAGGGCCTGGATTGGATCCTTAAGAAACTTTAACACCATTTGTTTATCTACAAGCATTAAATATGCTAATTTAGAGGGCTTTTAATTGATACATAGTCATTAAAGCAGATCTGCAAGGACATCTGATTAGGCACACTTTGTTCCTAGTCTATCTGGAAAAGCAACCTTTCAACCAATGGACATAGGGTGTCATGAATTGAGGGGTATAATTAATTCAATATTCTGTACCTGAAGCTCAATAAAGCAAAAAAAAAAAACTCAAAACTTACTATATTCTTAGAAAGGGGCTTGAAATGGTGCTTCCACCAGCCAAGCTGAGTTCACTGCCTAAACACAAGTCTTTGCTTTAGAGGGTTCTCAGGGGAGCAGGGTTGCATGAAATGGTCACTAGGTATAAGTCTGGAGTCAGTAACAGTGCTAAGTCCTTATGTTCTATTTTCTAGGAAGTTCAATGAAAGGATAATGGCATTTCTTGTCTGCCAAAATACACCTCTCAAATATCCTTGTCATATATTTAAAGATCTGCTTCAAAGTGGTTATTTTTTTTTCCCAAAAATTCAAATATCAAAATGTAAAATGATATCAACCAGTAGTGTGCTTCTGGGAGGAGACAAGATTCGAGATAGAAGTGATGGGGGAATTTTGCTTTTTAAAATTATACATGTAGTTCTGTATTGTTTAATTTTGACAAGCCTGTATTGCTTTTATAATTTAAAAAACAGTTGAAAACTTAAAAAAAAGGAAATGCTCCATAAGGGGATCTCATTCATGGTTTAGAATGAGTTTCTTTTAATCAAAACATTAACTTAATACCTATCTGAGCACTTGAGAGTATGTGAAATAGAAAGTAAAGGGAAGAGATGGAAAGTTGTGGATAAGGGAGGGGACATTCGTATGGGCAGTTCTTAAAGAGACAAAAACGTGGGACAGTAGAAGAGGGCTATGTATCTGGGAGCAGGGTCAGGAATCAACAAAGCCAGACTTGTAAACTCACTTGCTTATCTGTACATGAGATGACTAAGGTATTGGCTGGGCTGAAGAGGGAAGTAGGGTGAGGATATTCTCAAAGATCACTGCAGTATTTGGTTGAAGTAAACTGCTATTTCCTGGGCAGAAACTAATCAGATGGGACATGCAGGGTGGGATGGTCTAGATTTGAGTATGAAGCTGATAGTGGGGAGTTTCCTGGATTGTAAGAAACAGAACCAACTGTGGTATCCTATAAAGGAAAAATAAAAAAAAGATGGGACATGGAATGACAGAGTGGACAGGAACTGACTGGGGCAGCTGGGACGTAAGCTGCCTGAAGCTGGACAAGCTGAAGATGTATGGAGGTCTCTAGTTGGTTTTTAAAATTTCCAATATGAATACAGAATCCAAACAGGCAACAAATAAAAAAACAAACAAAAAACTAAAGTAAAAACGTCAACTGACCATTCTGGTTAACAGCTGGTTCTAAATATGATGGTTAAACTTTCAAGGTCTTCATTTTTTAAATGCAATTCTTCAAGCAGGGTGGTCATGAACTGTGTAGACATCACATTTTCCTGAGAAAGCTTCTGAATGCCAAGAGTTGAGGTCAGTCTGAAACACCAAAAATATTACATGCATATCCATGAAATTGGAAGGACTAAGGGGCTCCAGTCTTTAACATGGCAGAAGGGATTTTTCTGAGAATAATGAAGTCTCTCTGATTTAGTAAAATCCACAGAGAGAGGATCTTCTACTAAAGCTGAAGAGAAATCTCATGAAAAAAAACTGAAAGACCAAACCTACTGTTACATAAGAAGCTTAAAAGCCTTAATCTAAAACATGTCAGTCATTATATCAGCAAAAGCTACCAAAATTCTGCTCAGAAAAGAACATTAACGAAGTCTTTCCACATGAGAAAAGGAGGTTGTGTAGAGAAGCTTAGAGCTGAGAATTGCTTTAAAAAACATAATTTGTATCAACTGTTTAGGTTATATCACCTGAAAAACAGACAATAAACAAAAAAGACTGCCTTTGGATGAAACCTTAACATTTTTATTTATTTAAACATCTTTATTTTTGTAATACTGAATAGATGAATTGCATCTTACAAGGTACTTAGTACAAAACTTCAGAAGGAAAACAAAGCTTTCTTTAACTATTTCCAGTAACTATCCCTAAATACTGATTACATATATAACAATCAGAGAAGTAATTTTCATGAATGTGATTAGCAAACATGATTTTTTAAAAAGTGAAGAATATCTAATCACAAAGACTGCAAACCATTCCTTTTCATAAATTTTCTTCTCCAGAGAGAATGAGCATGCTTCACAGAGCCTTTTTCCAAGTACATTCTAGAAAACTTTTTGAAAAAAAAATTATTTTTCACCCAGTCTACACTTCTCACACAAAGCTCTTACAGATGCTTACTTAACCTTGGCCATTGCCAGTGGGCACATCAAATATAAATAAAATAACTCTGATTTCAATCAATATAGCTCAAGAAATCAGAGCAGAGGAGTTCCACAGTAGTGAGTGTGGGAATGAGAAATGTTATTTTGAGTCAGATTTCTTCCTTGCTTAGTATTTCAAGCAGAAACAAAAGGAAAAAATTGTCAGAATTGTCCAAAGATGCCCTAGACTTTGAGTAGATTCTCTATATTCCTGAAGGTATTTTAGCAAGAACTGGAGATGGGGTGACTCTGTCCAGTGAAATCCAGAGTGCTACCCAAGAAAACCACTGATTTCCTTACCCATCTCTCCTCTATTTATTTATAGCTAGTGGATGGAGTACTAGGTTCTTGTATTTCATGAGCCTTGTCTGCAGGTATTCCCCAAAGGCAGTTCATACTTGGAAATCCCTCTATCCAAGCATTCTAATGCCAAGTTCAAGCTGGGCACTTGGGTGAACTTATAGGCAGTTGTGGCTAGCTTTTCCTGTGGAGAAAGTAGAACCTAGAAGTCAACTCTTTTGGCTTTTCTCATACTTAGGTGATGCCAACATTTAAAATATCAAGGTGCTGCTTCTCCACAGTAAGACCAAAGGTGCTGGGGATGGGATAACATTGGCTAAAAACAAGAAGTCAGGGCAGTCAGATCAGATGTCAGCTTCATAGAAACCTAGCTTTTGTGTGTTTCAAAAATGGTAATGACATATCCAAAACAATGTCTCTGATTTTCAAGACTATATGAAAACATATAGTTTGGTTCATATATGAAAACAAAGTTTCCTCAATTACTTCTAAAAGTGCCATTAATATGTTTTAAAACTTCTTCAAATTAGAAATAAAGGTTGACTACTAGACTAGATTTTTCAACCTGTGTGCCCATATGAAAGCAGAAAACAATAATGTTATAGAGAAAGAGTTTGTAAGAGAACTGTTCTATCAATCACCCTAGTTAGGAAATATTTTGGGAATAGTAACACTTCTCTAACAAACTTATAAGGTTAACATTATTATATAAATAATTATAAGATATGTCCGTGCATGCACGCTAAGTTGCTTCAGTCATGTCCAACTCATTCCGACCCCATGGACTGTAGCCCACCAGGCTCCTCTGTCCATGGGATTCTCCAGGCAAGAATATACTACAGTGGGTTGCCATTCCCTTCTCTGATATATTCAAATTTACCTAAAAGTTTTGTTCATAAAGAAAAACCAGGGTTATTGAGAAACTTTTCCAACAATGCAATCCTGCTCCTGAGCCCATGCCACATACAGCTAAGCAACCAGGCATTCTTTTCTGAATGAGTGTGGACCTGTTTTGAGATTCCTCAAAAACATGGCTCTGAGCAGCAATCTGTTATGTTTTCTCACAAGATGAGTATCAAAGCTCTAGGGTGTATCTATAAAATGGGGCTAATAATACTTAACTTCCTTAAAAGTTATTATTGCAAAAGGATACTATAAATAGGTTGTTAAAAATCAATTATGATAATGATAATAACATTTATCATGTGCTACCTAGGAGATTTAGTGTGTACTTGTTCTAAGTATGAATTATCTCTTTTAAACTGCACAATGACACTGAAGAATATATACTGTTCCCATTTTATGAGTAAGGAAATAAAGGCACAAAAAAATGTAAGCACCTTCCCCAAAGTCACAAAGGTAGAAAGTGTCATGTCATGGCTTTGAAAAAACCCAGGCAATATATCTCAAAATGCCCATACTCCTGGCTAATATGCAAGCTTTCATTCTTTGTAGGCTACAGAATACTATATAAATTTAATCTTCACTTATGCCCTTCACTACTGTGCCCTCAATGAACATGCAGAAGAAACAGAATGTTTTAACTGCTCTAGAGAACTAAAAGGACAACAAAGTAGCTAGCAGCAGAAGGAAAATAGCAGTTTTGGGGTCTGGGGATTTCTGCAGCAAGTCATCAAACAGATAGCAATCCTTAGGCATCTGGAGCCAGGATTTCCTGACTTCTCTTAACACTTGAGCCTTAACTGCTGTTGCATAATTTTACTCCTGGAAAGTGAGTCAATGAGATTTCCTTTATTTATTCCCTTGTCCTTTTTTTAATCTTTATCTGAAAAGATTTCTTCCCTACCCCCAAGTCCCTAACACAGAATGTAGTAAGAAATATATATTACCTTTCTAAAATTTTTGACTTAAATCCTTTTTGGAATAAGCTGAGGTATAAAGAAATAAATACTCTAATAGTGCCTGTGTACCTCTAAACATTAGTAACCCAGTGGATTACTTTTGGGGAGTCATGTAAAAATTGTTTTTCTTTCCATAGAAACCAGGCTCACAAATACAAAAAAAAGAACAGTTTTGACAAGCTATAAAGTCATAATAATATGTCAGGGAAGATGCTAAACCCTGAAGACTAGTAATTTTATTAATTCATTCAAAAGAATTATGATTTGCTTCTATCTCCAAAGTTATTTACATTTAAAGTTGAATAAGAGCTATATATAACCTTTGTTTTCCAGATTCCTTGACTTGTCTACTTTAGTATGTTTTATTACTTAATAGCAAGCAACTGGCACTCTTCCAGACTGACTGCTCACTGGATATCTGCTGGATTTCCATGTCCATGTCATCGCTGCAGTGAGACGCCTCTGTGCCTGTTTGCAGAGATGAATCTGAGACAAGATCATAACCTTTTATCAGACTTTATGGTTTTGGTCATTGATAAGAGTTGGCTGTTGCCATTGACAACGATGCTTTTTGCCACCGACAAAGCAAGGATTATTTTTAGGGTACACACCACCTTAATGATAGGTACTACTGGCTGAATGGGGTGGGTGGACCTGTCTGATGGAGAGGAGCACTGCATTGAGCTTGGAGACAGGGTTCTGGGCAGAATCTGCTTTTGTTAGCAGTGAGTGACCATGGAAGGCGGCTTTGGAAAGCACAGAGCACTAAGCAACACGGTCTACGTGTGCTTAGAACCAGGTCCAGGGACAAATGAACAAAAACTTATTACTGGAACTATTCTTTACATGGTCTCTTCATTGCCACATCTGACAGCCTCTCCTTAGTTCTTTTTCCAGTTGACTGCAGTATTTGATGTCCTCATTCACTTCCTCCTTTTCTAGAATTCTCCTTCTTTGACTTTTCAGGCACTCTTATCTCAGTTCTCCTCCTACTCCTGAACTTTTATGATCTCTCTTGCTGGCATTTTTTTTTTTTTTTAACCAGTCCATTAATAATGACAGGTCTTACCTAAGGTTTCACATTGACCCTCTTCTGCATTAAATCCTATCTCGTGGCTCTGATTACCAGTGATTCAAATCTCTTATCTTCTCTCGGGATTTTTTTACACTTTGGATGTCTAAAAGGTACCTCAAATACATTCTGTTCAAACCTGAAATTCTGACTTCTCATTTTCATCAAAACCTTCTGGTATTAGAAATCTTAGTCATCTTTTAACTCTTAACCCTTAATGTTCTTTGTTCAATCAATTACCCTGTCCTCCCAATTCTCCTCTGATGTGCTTCTTGAATCCATTTCATTTCCCCCATTCTCATTGTCTCACTGTCTAATTCAGATGAATCATCTCCTCCTGGAACTACCACCTCAGCCTCCTAAGTGGTCTCCCACTCCATTCCAGTCTCCACACTGCCACCACAATCCTCTCTCATAGATCTGATTAAGTCACTCTCTTTGATAAGTACTCATAGGAGAAACCAAATTTCTTTGGACCTTTTATTTTTCATTTCTATCACATGGATATTCTTATAAATATTTCAAATAATATGAAAATATATAGTTAGTTGTATATTTTTTTCTCATCAAGCAGAAAGGTGGAAAACTTGGATATTTATTCATCCATTTTTGTATTCCCCACAGGCTTGTTCCCTTAATAGTAATACATAATTTGGTGGATGATTACAGAACTGAAACTGCTGCTATGCCATACTAGCACTTGTCAGGGTACTACAAGATGCATGGGTATGTGTGCGTGCTTAGTTGTGACTCTTTGTGACCCTATGCACTATAGGCTGCCAAGCTCTTTGTCCATGGGGTTCTCCAGGCAAGAATACTGGAGTGGATTGCCATTTCTTTCTCCAGGGGATTTTCCGGATCTAACCAGGGTCTCCTGCAACTCCTGCTTTGGCAGGTGGATTCTTTTACCAGTGAGCCACGTGG